ACAGGTCGCAGGTTCAACTCTTCGAGTTGATGCAGGTATTGTACACAGGTAAGTTGGGGAACTAGGGATCGAGCCCTGGGATCTACCTCAGCTACCACGAATTGGTGAATACCGTTTCAAGTCTCCCCCAAGGGTCAATGGAATGGGCTGGGCCCTGGGTCCGGATCTGGATCTCGGGTCTGGGGTCATACTACACTGCCCTCTCTTTCTCTCTCTCCCTGCCTCTCCATGTTAACACAACTCCTTCCTTTTCAGTCATCAACAGTGGTTAAAAGAATAAACAGTTGAGACCCCACAACCACAAATGCATCACCCATCATGTTTTCGATTGCTGGTGAAGATGCGAGACGTTTCTGTTTGTATCTGTATTGCACTCTGTACCGTTGGGTTATTTACTCTGCCTGTTATCTTCTGTTGCACTCTCTCATGCCAATATTTTCCCTGTGTGCAGTTCTCCCCAAGTGGTCAGGAAGTCATTGGAGGGACAGGAGGAAAGGATGACAACAGCTTGTACATATATGATATTGAAACGAAGGCGCAGGTGGTTGTGGTGAGATTTCTTTCAACCCTTCCCTCTCAGGAAAATTACATGCAATAGATTGCATTTGGATATGTGTAGTTTTTGTTAGGTGTCTAATGTCAACTGCCTTTTACGATTTGTTGCCTTGTTTTCCACTTCTGCCCATCTCAGGTGATGTGTGTGAGTCATAGCACTAAGGAAAAGCTGTGGCATGTCACACGGTATAAGTGATTTTTGCACACCAGCCTACACACTTATTTACAAGTATTCAATGGAAATTTAGGAGTCTTAGAAATGGACAAGCAAGCAGATAAGACCAAGCAAGCAAGCATTGAAAAGTGGAAGATGAGGAAACGTGAGGAAGTGGCATGTAAATGGCAGATGGAGGAGCAAGCAGTAAAGCAAGCAAGCAAGCAGCAAGATGTAGTACAAAAGCTACTGAGGATGACCAGGTGGTAGTGGGGAAAAGGTGGAAGAGATGGGTGGTTCCATGGAGGAATGGGACAGAGGGAATGGTTTAGACAGGAGGAAGAGGGGAGGAGGGGGAAAATGAGTGATGAAGGAGCAAGGAGGGTGGGAAGAGGAAGGGGGAAGGGAAGAGATGCCCTCTCTCAACACTTGGACTCCGTTGTTACCTATTTAGACGTGGGGAGTGAATTAGAAGATAAGATTATAGCTGGATATAACGAGGACCCAATCTGGAGTAAAATCATCCAGACCACTTCCCAGATTGTCGTATGACTGACAGCATACTATTCCTCACAAGCAAAGGAGAAGATAGAATCTGTGTTCTGAATGGTGAGTCTATTAAGAGCGTGATACTTAGACGAATGTCACAACATGCAAGGACACTTCGGTAGGAGGAAGACCTATGCCAATGTATTGTGAAGGAATGAAAGAAGAATGTGATAACCTACGTCAGAACCTGTATTGTTGGTCAGCAAAATAATTCGTCCTGTTTGGGACAGCTAAGACCACTTCCTATTCCTTATGGACCAGGTGAGTTTAGGGTGTTTGGGTTCCGGTATGGGGGTTTATTCGTTCATTTTTCGAGGGAATCTGTATTTTCTGTTTTTTTTTGTTGACTTCTCAGAACATGGGTCTGTCCTCAGTCCGTTCTGTCTGTTCGGTCCCTTGTCCGGTCTGGGTACGTCATAGCACCAGTTTTGTCCGTTTTTGGCCTGGTCTGTGTTGTTTCACTTTCAGCCCAGCCCGAGGTGTCGGTTGGACCTGGTTTGTCCACACCGCCCTCCAGTAGACCAGCAGCCGCCTTAGGCCTGCATTTGGAGCAGACACGTTTTTTGGCCTGGAGGCTGGACCAGTTTTCGGTCCAGCATCCAGGACTGCCAATTGATGCACTAGATCCGATGGTCCTGGATTCAGGGGCCCCAGGGACTGGTAGACACAGCACTGTATATGGCTGGGTCCAGCCTCAGTTAGGCAGGCAGCATGCAGATGTAGAGGTCGACGCGCTGCTGCACAGCACTGTTCCAGGTAGAGGCGTAGGAAAGCAGCGGAGTAGGAGGACTCGAGGGCGGAGGCCCTATAGGAGGGATTTTCCTGAAGACTTACCTGGCGCCATAGCTCCTGTTCGTGTTCGGGCATCTCCCACCTGCATACACAGCTCCAAGGCAATACCTTTACACTGGTCAGTATCTCGCTTCGTTACAGGGTTACATCGGGAGGATTCTTCTTGGCTTCTCCTCCTCCACCTCCACTAGTTCTTCTTCCTCCCTCCCTCAGGTGCTTCTTCTTTTATGTGTGTGTGTGTGTGTGTGTGTGTGTGTGTGTGTGAGAGAGAGAGAGAGAGAGAGAGAGAGAGAGAGAGAGAGAGAGAGAGANAGAGAGAGAGAGAGAGAGAGAGAGAGAGAGAGAGAGAGAGAGAGAGAGAGAGAGAGAGATTATGAGAGCTGAGGCTTGGTGACATTGGGCGATTGCCAGACTCTGACAGTGTGTCTGGACAGAGACATTGGGGCCTACTTTTGGAGATTATCTATAGACGACACTATTTGGGTTGACGACTCTCCATCTCTTCCCCCACTTTGTCTCTTCTCCCTCCTCCTCATCTGTGGATGATCTTTGGGCATTGTGCTCTTCTTCCATGTGTGCAGCGCCATGTTTCCTCACCCGCATTGATGATGAGTGAGTGTCAGTCACTCAGAGTCTTGCTGAGTCAGATCTGTGTGTGTCAGTCTTCCGCTGCATTTTTTTTTGCTCCTTCTCCTTCGGTCGGTTCTTGGGTTCTAGTAATGCAGAAGTTTCAGATGTCATGGGTTTCCGAATATGGATTTTTGAAGACTATTGTGTCTGATAGAGATGTGAGATTTAGAGGAAAATACTGGCAAAGACTGATTGAAGTGTATGGCAGACAATAGACTAAAGACATCCTGAGACAAATGGAGAGGCTGAGCAAATGAACAGATTGTGCCAACGAGTTCTAGGCATGTATGCACGTCCTGACCAAATTGATTGGGATGATTTATCTAAGATTGCAGGTGCGTACAACAAATCTGTGAACACGGTGACCGGGCGAACGCCTAACACACTGCATATGGATGGCAGTGTAGAAGATTTAAAGACTCTCTAGCAGGAGACCAGGTCCAAAGGTTACCCCCAGGGACAAGTGAATTTGCTGTGTTTTTTTTTTTTTTTTCAAACATCCTGTGATGTCCTAACGTCCTGGGTGATGAGAGCACCACCAGGATAATGAAAGTCGAAAAGAACATAAGAAAGGCTAAGACAAAAATGATTGAACAAGCTAATAAACTCAGAAGACCATTACGTTTCGGAGAGAAGATTTGGTCTGGGTAAAGTCAAACGAGTTCTCTCTAGAAGAAGGAATTACACAGAAACTGCTACCTGTCCACTATGGGCTGTGGGAAGTTCTCAAAGTGATGGGAGATCAGGGTGGTCCATCCAATCTCGTTGATGCACGTCCATACACCAAGATTTGTCCTGCCATCCACACACCTAAGATATTACCTTACATCGAAGTAGATGACTTCCCCTGTCATCCATCTATGGGTCTCGTTGGACACCACTGCACTACATTGAAAATCGATGTTCGGCACTGCTCCACTCTACACTAGAGTCGCACTAGTCACCTTCCCGTCGAATTCCCGCCTTTTCGAAAGAGCGGGAGAATTCTGTAGTGCAGCTGTAGTGTGGCCCTGGCAAATCAGGCTGAATTTCAAGTCGTCTCTCGGAGGACGCTAGAGAAATCTACAAAAAGGCGCAAGCACGCACCGTGAGGTAGTTTTAGGTTTGCTTCAGTCCCCCTGCTGTTTTGTTTTTTTTTTTGTCCTGCTCGTTTGGCAGCACAATCCCGTTCCCGCCACTGCACCTTTCCTGCTTGTTTGGAGTCTAGGGTTAGGTGGAACAAGGACCGACTGTAGTATTTTTTAATGATGTTTACAAGTCTAGTGCGGGTGTGGCATACTCAGTCCCGGCAGGGCCCGACCAGGTAGGATTAGGGGTTGGTTAGTAGGGTTTAGTGTTACGGACTCCGCCAGGGCTCGATCCCTGGTCTATCTTTTTGCTGTTTGGCTGCATCCCGTTTTCGGCCTGGCACCCTTTTTCCAAACCCCTCCTTTGGTACCGTAGGATTTTGGACAACTGACGCCATGCTGCAATTCGGGCGCCACTTTCAAATACCGCATTTTTCAGTTCTTCCCTCGGGGCCTTTGCAGAAATGCCCCTGGTACCGTACGTGTCACCGGTACTTATACCGGCTCCCCGTACGGTACGGGGACCAGTCTCTACCAGTTTTCTGCTGCTGTACTCGTACTCAGTGTGACTTGCTGTTTCGGCATTCGGAATCCAAGACTTCGACTTTGTGCCTTGGCACTGTGTCTGCGTCCGACCCTCAGTCGTGTCGAGTGAGGGAGTGTGTGTGTGTGCTCCAACTCTCTCCCTCTCTCTCTCCTCTACCTCGGCTCTCCCTCAGCCTCACGCCCGTCACATTTAGGGTCTGTTCTCAGACCAGTCTCAGCCCGTTTTAGGGGCCATGGCATTGGTTAGGCCTGTTTGTTTAGAGGCCCAGTTAGGCCTGTACCCCAGTCAGGCTGAGGAACCGTCTAGGCCGTTCAGGCCCAGGAACCTTTTTGGCGCCAACTTCGTTAGGCGCCAACATTTTCGCTTGGGCGCGAGCTCTGAGGTGGCAGTTCGTTTGGGGCAGCTGTGAGGCCGGACCAGCATTATATATAGCTGGTCCGCCTCAGTTATAGGCAGGTAGTTCTGAGGTAGTATTGTAGTCTTCAGTAGTTGACGCTCTGGGCGCCGGAGCTTGGTAGATGGTAGTCTTCCAGCGCTGGGCGCTACGCTAGGTAGTCGAGCTTGCGCTGCAGCAGGGGACTTGGGAGAGATGAGGCCGAGGCCAGGGGGACTTACCTGCGACTTACCTGTGGAGCCAGAGAGAGAGAGAGAGAGAGAGAGAGAG